GAGAAATCCCAGACCCCGGAACCACCATGGTCGTCAATAGCCATGGACTTCACAGGTCCATTCCCAACAAGCTTGGGATATGATTACCTCTGGGCAATGTCAGGGGACAACTCCCGGGTCCCCATGACCCTCCCCTATGGCCCACAGCCTCAGGTCTAGCCAGCCCTATCCAGGGAACAATCCTACTACTACTACTGTGGGTCAGAGATGGGAAGGAAGTTAACTTCTCATCTTCCCACAGTGGTGACAATATCGAAAACTTCTGGGGATACCCAGAAGTCACATGAGACCCGAGACCTGGGGCCCAGGGCATCCAGCTGCACAGAGTGTCCGGCACAGGGCGCATGTGGGAAGTGCAACAGCCAGGTGTGGGTGTGAGTGCGGGTGTGGGTGCGAGTGCAGGTGTGGATGTGGGTATGGGCTAGGTCAGGGTGTATGCCCTGACAGGTAATCATCTGCAGGTTGAGGTCCAACATTGAAAGAGGGCTCGCGGCTCTCGATGCCAACTAAGCTCGTGGGGCCAAACTCTCCAAAATCCTACTTTCTTGACTAAACTTTGCTATGCTCGATCCTTAACTCCGCGGTGGGTTCTCCGGGATTTCTGCAAGGTCCGGGCTCAGTGTCCACTACTCACTCGTTGTGAGCTAGATCACTGCCCTTATTCCTACTGTTGGAATTCCACACACTCACACCCTCTCTAGCGCGTCCTAGCACCTTAGAGAAAATTGGGGGAGGGGAGAACTTCCTTTTCAAAAATCCGGTATGTACAGGATTATAAGAAATAATTATTTTTAGAAATAATAGATGGTGAATATTGGTACCATATGGCACCTGGGTACCTTATTAGGCGAAATAATAAAAAAGGGTAACAGTGACAATAAAAGAATATCAATCAATAACTGAAATGATGGCAAAATATGAAAATAAAAGAAAATAAGCGATTTGTCAACGGATTTACGGAATTATGAGCCGAGATTGGAAATGAAGCTGGAGATAACTCTCACGCAGCCGATAAGCATTTTTACCAATTTATTAGACGCTGTGGGAATGAGTGAGGCTGGAATTCTGGGTTGCCGCTTGAGATTCCCACGCCCGCACATACTCGTGACCTGCCATGCCTAACTTCTCCAACATGGAACTCCGTCAAATCTCCACCGATTGGGACGTTCTTGGAATCGTCAGAATCGTACGAATTAGCACTATTTTTAGATACCAAATTTGTACCGAGTCATCGCGTGAATGGAAGTCGTTCCCTAATCGTAGAATCGGGTATCCGAGCCGAGTCTGTGTGTGGGCGATTATCCCACCTACAACGTCCACCTGATTCCAATAAAAACAACAATGAACACATTAGAACTAGCGTTTGTATCCCTATGCAAAGTTGTAAGACTTCACGGTCTACCACACTCAATCATATCAGATCGAGACTCAAAATTCATGTCAAAATTTTGGTGCAAACTACACCGAATACTCGGTGTGCAGTTGAAATTCACAACTGCATTCCATTGCAAGGGGACAGCCAAGCAGAGTGAATGATACACAAAGTAGTACAGATTCTACTGCAATGGTCAGACCAGATCAACATGACTGGGCAGTGAAGCTGTCAATGGCAGAATTTGCAATTAACGCAAGCTCAAACTGCTAGAACGGGGCTGATACAGACGACTCCGGAGTGGAATCGGAGACTTAGCGTGGAGGGACCTTGGCCTCAGCAACTCAAGCGGAGCGCTGTGCCATTGCTGTTTGTCCATTTGGTCCTTAATTTCACAGTAGGTGAGCAGGAAGTCTCTAGGGGGCATTTCAGGTCGATTTCGGACTGAGCCCAAAATGAGTATGCACAAGCGCCGATATATATAATGGAGGGGGCAAGAGCACAAGGAAACAAAGGGAAACCGAATCGGAACGAAGACGTCCGAACGGGAACAAAGGGAAGAAGGAGCGGAGCGGTACCGAAGGTCATAAGGCAGGACCTGTGATACATCCGAAAGGAGGTAGGGAGGGCAAGGCCCAGAGGGGCAGGAGGATGAGGAGAAGTGGGGATGATGACTAACTGGCTAGAATGGGAAGAAGCAGTAGTCCAAATAGGGATGAGGGGTAAACGCGAGAGATACATTACAGGCAGCGAAAGTGCCGAAGGCGATCTGCGAAGCTCAGGGGTTGGGGAGCTTATGGAGGTTACGGAGGCGGGGTTGAAAGTCCGAGGGATATTGGCAATGGTGTTTACATAGTATGAGGTCACCAATGCAATGGACTAAGACCGAGGTGGAGTCAAAGTCCAAGGTAGGAACTATGACAGAGGCTTGGAGCAAAGGTACAAGTGGTGTCCGAGTACAAAGTACGGGACAGCGGTGGAAGGTTGTAACTTGGCGGAAGGGTGGTGGAGGAGTACCAGAGGGAGGAGAAAGGGGAAAGGTAAGGGGGAAGGAGTGGCGGAAAGGAGGGTTGTCAGGTCCAAAGGTGAGTATTGGAGCGGATGGGGGAAGCGTAGGAGGAGATGGGAGGGTGGAGGTGTTGTGAAGGGGGAGCGGAGTAGGAGGAGGAGTAGTAGTAGGGGGGTGGTGTGAGGGGCGGTGTTCGGCCCGAGGTGAGTATCGGAGCAGACAGAGATAGGGTTGGAGAGGTAAGGAGGAGTAGAGGTGGCGTGGGGGGTAGAAGGAGGTGTGTTGCCAGGACCGAAGGTGAGTATCGGAATGGCAGCGGTAGGTTATGGTGGGGGGTAGAAGGAGGTGTGTTGCCAGGACCGAAGGTGAGTATCGGAACGGCAGCGGTAGGTTATGACTCCGGAGGTGAAGAGGGTGGAGGTCCGGAAGTCGGGTCGGGATCGGGTATGCACGGATATGACACAAATGCATCAACAGGATTTGCCCTGTTTGAATTAATCTATGGCCACATGCCACAGATGTGCCTAACAGCACCACCCTCGGACTACCTCAGAGTGAACGACTTCGCCCAAAAGGCAAAGGAAAACCTAATGGCAGCACATGACACGATAATACACAATCATGCTGCCCAAACAATCCAGGCTAATAAGAAAAGATGCCCGGACCCACCTTTGAGAAAAGGCAAGCTCGCATACTTATCCACAGATAAGTTGAACCTACCCAAAGGAAGGGCAGGCAAACAAAAGCCCCTGTATATAGGGCCTTATGAAATTCTGGAAATATTTCCAGAGACATCTAACTACATCCTCAAGTTGCCACCACAACTTGAACAACGTGGAGTCCACCCAAGATTCCACATATCTCAGCTTGTGCCTCATGAGCCAAACAACCAAGAAATCTTCCCAAATAGGGAAGTAATCATATTTTACGATTTCAGGGAGGACCCTGATTGGAATGCAGTAGTTTGCAAAATCTTAAACCATGTGTGGGTTCATAACATACTCTGGTTTACGGTCAAATGGGAGCTAGGGGACACCACATGGGAACCCCTAGGAAACTGTAACGACCTCATCCACTGTCATATCTGTGCATACCCGACCCCGCCCCGACTCCCGGACCTCCTCCTTCACCACCTCCGGAGTCCTACCCTACTGCTGTTCCGTTCCGATACTCACCTTCGGTCCTGGCACCACACCTCCTCTCACCTCCCATGCCACCTCCACTCCTCCATCCCTCTCCTGTCCTATCTCCGTCCACTCCGATACCCACCTTGGACCGAACACCACCCCTCTCGCCACCCTATTACTACTCCTCCCACTCCTCTGCTTCCTCCCCACCACACCTCCACCCTTCTGTCATCCTCTTACTCTTCTTCCATCCACTCCAATACTCACCTTTGGACCTGACACCTTTCCTCTCCTCCACACCTTCCCTCTTCCCTCTCTCCTCTCTCTTCCCTCTGGTCCTCTTCTGCCGACCTCCCGCCAAGTTATGACCTTCTGCCACTGTCCCATACTTTGTACTTGGACACTGCTCGTACCTTTGCTCTGAGCCTCCATCATAGTTCCTACCTTGGACTTTGACTCCACCTCGGTCTTAGTTCATTGCATTGGTGACCTCATACTACATAAACACCATTGCCAATATTCCTCGGACTTTCAACCCCACCTCCATAACCTCTGTAAGCTCTGCAACCTCCGAGCTCCACGGATCATCTTTGGCACTTTTGCTGCTTGTAATGTATCTCTCGCATTTTCCCCTCATCCCTATTTGGACTGCTGCTTCTTCCCATTCTAGCCAGTTAGTCATCATCCCCACTTCACCTCATCCTCCTGCCCCTCTGGGCCTCGCCCTCCTTACCTCCTTTCGGACGTACCACAGGTTCTGCCTTATGACCCTTGGTACTGCTCCGCTTCTGTCATCCCTTTGTTCCTGTTTGGACACCTTCGTTCCGATTCGGATCCCCTTTGTTTCCTTGTGCTTTCACCCCCTCCATTATATATATCGGCACTTGTACATACTTGTTTTAGTCCTTAGTCTAAAATCGACCTGAAATGCCCCCTAGAGACTTCCTGCTCGCCCACTGTGAAATTAAGGACCAAATGGACAAACAGCAATGGCACAGCGCTCTGCTTGAGTTGCTGAGGCCAAGGTCCCTCCTTGCTAAGTCTCCGGTTCCCCTCTGGAATCGTCTGCCCTCGCCCAGTTCTAACATCCACCTGGACAAGTACCTCACACTAAGAATGATGACGTGCACAAGTCATCACTATCCAGAAACAAATTGTTTTGAAACAAACCAACACTCTCATTTTTTTCACAACATGTTGTAGTGAATTCTATGCCCACCAACCCATAGAGTACATAGTAAAGAAGACCATTGTGGTTTCCAAATTTAAATATTCAGACTCATGGGGAAATGAGAGGGTTTTTGGTTTTTCTCCTGGAATTGAGTCTGCTTTCAATCCTTGGCACTTAGGAAATAAAATTGGAAAATGAACAGTAAAATTTTGGCATGCACAGATTTCTTAAATCAATTCATTCGGTAATTGCCAAATTACCGAAACAGAAAGCAACAAGTGCAGACACCCTTTCCCCCCTAATCCCCTGATACTGTGTGCTATGCCTTTAGGGAAAAAGTGGAAACAAGCTAACAATCTTGGGAGGTTCTCCCAGAAGGTGGGACTGTCATGAACAAAGTGTTTGTTAAGTCATAATTTACACTCTGCATTGTCCTTAGAAATTATGTGGAAATACATCTAATCCTGCTACAGAATCAATCACCACACCTCCTTCCCCAGAGCATCCATATGTCTCAGAGAACCACACAATCCAAGGACAACCAGAGATTGATGTCAATTCTGATGTCTATGATAGTGCAAACAGCGACACTGACAGTGACTCGGACTTTGATGAAACAGTCAACCCCGCAATAGTCTCAAAGGATGTGTTCACTCAGCTCCTCTGCGACTCTGAGAAAAGGCTTTCTCACCTAATGAATGTCTGGGGAAACATTCCGGGTAACAAAGTTACATATCCAGGCTCAATGATAAATGGAGTCCGTTCTGAATGCAGCCAGTGCCATGATGCAGCAAAGGAGAGAGCTATAAGTGGGAGGCTTCAGGAAATGAAGAAAAAGACAAGGATTGATGGGAAAAAATGCACAGTCCTTGATTTTTTCAGTCATCCTCCTCCAACTTCCCACACACAGTCCACACCCCAAACTCAACCTAGTCCGTCAGCACTCTTGAGTGACTCTAGCGATGAGTACAGTGACCCAGCACTGTTAGGCACTTCCTATAGAGAGGGAGATTGTGCTGGGATTGATGTGTTTGTCACCAGGATCAATGAGATCCACCATACCTCCCTCAACATCCAACAAGATTCCACCTGGAAACACCCTCACAGCGAAATGTCTGACATTCCCCTGAACATTCCAAACAATTCAGATACATCCATTCACAAAAATCAGGAAGAAAATGTGGAAGTACCCACCAATCCCAATCCCGCTTCCACTGCATTCCTCCCATCACCCAGGAAGCTCTGCCTGCAACCAGCATCTTCAGCAACTGCCCAGAGTGAGCCTCTTGAAGCAGAAAAACACTCGTGACCCTATGTCCCCCCACCCAAAAAAGAAGAGGCAGTCAAGGCCACATGAGATCTCAATGTCATCTTGAAGCCACAATGAAACACAGGGAGAGGCTACAAAAAGGTTGAGATTAACCTAATGCTGCAGGTGCGAATCCAGCAGATGGCTCAGCTTCTCCACTTGTACAGTTCTGGAGTGGATGGAGGTGGAGATGCTGGCTGGATCAAGATATCAGTGACAGTCGCGAATGTGTGGAATCGTGGGAAATCCTATCCCATGCACTTACGGAGATGGTGTAGGGAATTTCTGGACAATAAATCACTTCCAGATAATCCATATGGTCGCTGGGGTTCATCAATTCTGACAACAGATGAAGATTTGAAAGAAACACTGGAAACTCACCTTCGTGGGCTTGGCCCCTACATCTCTGCTGCAGACATTGTAAATTTCCTCAATACCCCAGAGATGAAAGAGCATCAAGGACACGAAAAACCAATCTGCCTGCGCACAGCACAGAGATGGCTACACATAATGGGATACCGGTGGTGCAAGGAGAAACGAGGACAATACTCAGATGGGCATGAGCATGAAGATGTTGTGTATTATCGGCAGACCATGTTCTTGCCCACAATGGCTGAATATGCGAAGTCAACAAGGGAGTGGGACATAAATGGAGAGTAGGAACTCACTGGATCACAGCCAGAGGAACACACTGTTCTTTGGTTTCATGATGAGTCAATTTTCTATGCTCATGATTGCTGTCAAATTCGCTGGGTACACAACTCTGAGACCCCAAAGCCTTATCCTAAGGGTGAAGGCGCTTCTCTGATGATTGCCGATTTTGTCTCAGCAGACTATGGTTGGCTGAAGGGGGATGGCTGCGATGCGTGGGTGATTCTTAAGCCAGGAAAGAACCGCGATGGTTACTTTACAAATGATGACATTCTCGAACAGGCTTCATGTGCAATGCACATTCTGAAGCAGAAACACCCAAACGAGAAGCATGTTCTCATCTTTGACAATGCCTGGACTCATGCAAAACGAGCAGAGGATTCCCTATCAGCTGTCAAGATGCCCAAATTCCCAAAGGGTTGGGGTGTCTCTGTCATTGCCTGTGATGAGAATGGGCAGATTATCTATTCAGAAGATGGGAAACTGTCAGGAACGCGTCCGGGGTCGAGAGGGCCCGGGGGTAATGTCCGGCACTGAAGCCGTCGTGGGGTGTGGAGCGGGTGTGCGTACTGGCGGGCCCGATCCGGGACAGCGGTCCCTGGCCACTTAGTCTGAAGTGGAGAATGTGTTATTATTATTAAAGGGGGAAACTATACTACTTACCTGAAGTGGAGAATGTGAGAAGAAGGTTACTTCTTCAGTTCCCACTTCAGGTACATTTATGTACATGCGGCTTGAGTCACATGACAAGCGCCACGTCATCCTCGGAGGCAGCCGCAGGCATCCGGGTGTCCCCGTGGGGGATCCCGAGAGCGTCCGCTGCATGCGCGCGTGCTGGGCACAGCGGGAAGCCGTCCGGGGTGTGTGGGCCGGACGGGTCAATAGTACATCGATACAAAGGAAGGTGGTCCGTGTAGATAGAAAGAAATAAAGAAAGGGGAAGGAGAGGGAGGAAGGAGGGGGGAGGGGGATAGACAGTGGGGAGCGGGTGTGGTGTGGCCGGGTGGGTCCGGGTGGACCCGGGTCAGGCGGGTGTGCCCTGACAGAAACCATGCATGACCAAGAAGCGCATGGCTGATACAACATTCAATGGCCAGCCACAACACCTTTACTATCCTGACAACCATGAAACACACCCAGGACAGTTCAAGGGTATGGCCAAACTCAAGGAGCATGGCTACAATAATGCATCCTGTTAGAACTGGGCAAGGGCGGACAATTCTGGAGGGGAACCGGAGACTTAGCAAGGAGGGACCTTGGCCTCAGCAACTCAAGTGGAGCGCTGTGCCATTGCTGTTTGTCCATTTGGTCCTTAATTTCATAGGCGGCAAGCAGGAAGTCTCTAGGGGGCATTTCAGGTCGATTTTAGACTAAGGCCCTAAAACAAGTATGTACAAGTGCCAGTATATAATGGAGAGGGCAAAAGCACAAGGGAAACAAAGGGGATCCGAATTGGAATGAAGGTGTCCAAAAGGGAACAAAGGGATGACAGAAGCGGAGCGGTACCGAAGGTCATAAGTCAGAACCTGTGATACTGTACATCCAAATTGGGAGGGTGAAGCCCAGAGGGGCAGGAGGATGAGGTGAAGTGGGGATGATGACTAACTGGCTAGAATGGGAAGAAGCAACAGTCCAAATAAGGATGAGGGGAAAACACGAAAGATACATTACAAGCGGCAAAAGTGCCAAAGATGATCCATGGAGCTTGGGGGTTATGGAGCTTGCGGAGGTTACAGAGGTGGGGTTGGAAGTCCGAGGAATATTGGCAATGGTGTTTACATAGTATGAGGTCACCAATGCAATGGACTTAAGCCAAGGTGGAGTCAAAGTCCGAGGTCGGAACTATGAAGGGATCTCAGAGCGAAGGTACGAGTGGTGTCCGAGTACGGGGTACAGGACAGCAACAGAAGGTTGTAACTTGCTGGAGGGTCGGCAGGAGAGGGTCAGAGGAAGGAGAGAGGAGAGAGAGGAATGGGGAGAGGAGTGGAGGAGAGGGAAGTTATCAGGTCCGAAGGTGAGTATCAGAGCGGACAGGAGAAGGGTAGGAGAGTGATGGAAGGGTGGAGGTGTTGTGAGGAGGAAGAGGAGGAGTGTGAGGAGGAGGGTGGCGAGAGGAGTGGTGTTCGGTCTGAGGTGAGTATCGAAGCAGATGAGGGTAAGGTAGGAGAAGGACGGAAGGGTGGAGGTGGCATGAGGGGTGAGGGGAGGTGTGGTGTCAGGACCGAAGGTGAATATCGGAATGGACAGCGGTAGGGTAGGACTCCAGAGGTGGTGAAGATGGGGGTCCAGGAGTCGGTTCGGGATCGAGTATGTATGGATATGACACATCCTCACTTCCAGCAGGGTGCAAAGGGTTCAAGTGCTGAGGAACTGACGTGCAGTGCTGCTGCCGGAACATTCTGTTCCACCAGCCCAACTTCATCAACATTGACTGCCTGCTTACAGCTCATTGTAGGGCTAATGGATTCAAAGTTCTTTTCCTCCCGAAATTTCACTGTGAATGAAATTTCATTGAACAAGTCTGGGGCCTCTCAAAGCGAGTCTACAGAGAACATCCACCCTCATCAAAAATAGGGGATGTCGAAGCAAATGCAAAAGAAGCATTGGCATCTGTGACCATCCAATCCATGAGAAGGCGAGTTTTTTTATTATTACACTCTTCACAATTCTTATTTCTTTTCAGGTTTGCAAACCGCTCACTAAGATACATGGATGGATACTGGCAGGGGTTGAATGGCTGTGAGGCATCTTGGGCAGTCCAAAAATATCACAGTCACCGCCAAATACCACTGGAGGCAACACGAGAAATAATCCAAGAATTCATGAAATCAAAGCAGAGTTCTTAATATTTTTCAGCTGAAAATGTAACTACATAAGTTACATAAATCTAGCAGTGCTTGTGGCCACTTTATGAGACAAATGAGGCATGGCTCCGATCCTTCCCAACTTTTGGCAGCACGTTGTAACGGGTCTATCGCCTAGACTCGAGACAGAGAGAAGGGGGAGGGTGGTAGTGTGTGTGGGTGTGGTTTGTGGGGCGGGGTTTTGGTCCATGGCCGCTACTGAGTCTGCAAAAACAAACACTCACCTACATCTCTCTTGGACATCAAGGCTGAGTATTATGATGAGAGGGGTCTTAGACGTGAGCAACAAGCTCAAGGGGGGCGTTAGGGTCGTGGATGGCATCTTTGCCACTTGGATGCAACTTCTGCTTGTCCCTTCATGGGTCTATTCAGTACTAACTTGTTATGTACAAGCTATTATATGAGTTGGAAATGGAATGAATGGAGTGGGGGAATGTAAACGGGCCGTTAGGCAACCGTAAATGATGAATATCCAATTGGGAACAAAGAAACAATAAGAAATATGAATGAATGGGCAATATGTGATAACGGATCCGAAATGGGAATTGTGAAAGTTATCTCTGCAACACTTCGCCACAGTGCCCGCCTATCCTCCCGTCAGCAATATCCTCGTCTCCAGCTTTCCAACGAGCCCTTATTCATCCCAATTGGTGCAGTACTTCTTGAGATGTGGCCATTGACAGGTGCTGTGAAGACCACGTGAGACTCTACTCCATGCTGAACCATCCGGGTATGGGATTGCCATTCTGGGAAATGCTCCAGGGGGTTAAGAAGGAAGGTATAGCATCACTATCGGGTAGAAAAACGGCTGGGTTGTTGTGTGGTTATGGAGATCTGGAGAGGGGGTGAAATTGGCGGCATGGTTGGGCGTGGGAATTTTGCTTGGGGTTGTTGGGAATGATGGGAAAAATATGGAAAAATAAGGAGTGAGTGTCAGGAGTGTTGGATAGTGATAGAATGAGCATCGGGAGCGTCAGCAGGTATGTAGTGGGTGTTGGTGGCCAAATGCCACAGAATCCGACTTTTTGCGGTACACAGAGTTGTCTCCACAACAACGTGAGCCATACAGCCACACATGGTAGTTTCCGGCACAGTGATGACTTGTGCATGTCATCATTCTTACAAAATGTGAGGGAACTGGAAAATCTCCCCATCAAAGAAGATAGGGAACTCTCGGCATCACTATGCCCCCAAAAACGGAGGTGGAAAAGGTGAAGCCGAAGGGTGATTGCCCACAGCCAAGAGCGTGAGAAGATTCTGGGTGAGCAACTCGCCTGGACAGCCACCAATAGACTCTGGGTGAGTAGCTCACCCAGATAGCCACACCATGTGCTAGACATCACATGGGCTAGGCAAGTAACTTGCTTAGACCATGTGAACCCCAGACTCACATGTAAAACCATACACAATTGCAGCGAATCCCATGCATGCAAGAACCTAAACCCCACCCACCAGCATGAGAAACAAAATGATGAAATGTCATTCTCTGGGGGAGGCAACCCTTGATTCGATCCAAACAAGCTGCTGGACATCAAGATACAACAACCTGGGGAGCAAAGCTCCTCAGAACAACACCAACACCAGGCACAGATGAGCACCATGGACTATACAACACACATGGCACAAATGAGTGCTGCAAACCAACAACCTTCCATGATGCCAATAGGCACCACATAGCCCCAGCCTCCCCAAAGGGGCTTTCAACCATATGTGGTGCAGACTGCACTGATGGTGCAACAAACGCCACTCCAGGGGCAGCAATTGCTGCTGCAGCCCTAGGCATACTCCCCAGGGAACTTCCCTGGATTGGCCAATTTGGCCCAGGTCCGACAACACCCCAGCCAAACATAGGCTGGGAATCAGCTATTACATCAGCGGTAGCTGCCCAGATGGGTCAACTCCATCAGGAGTTGAAAGAGATGAAGTCCCTCATAGGAGGGAGATGAGGGAGCGACAGCGGCTCCTTGTCCAGGCTGTCCAAATGGGCATGGTCTAAAAACTCGGGGGTGTCAGACGATGCCTGCGATAATTGCACCCATTGGAGGTGCGAATACAATAGAGCAGGCAGAGATGCCGAAGGCATCTTTGCCTCTCTGAAAGATACAGAGAAAGAAGTCAATCTCCAGAAGAGGGAGATCAAATTATTGAAACGCGAGCTCGAAGAAGCATGTGCACTGGCAGATCTCGCTGCCAAACCCATTATGATGGGGGCCTCCCAGGTCAGGGGGAGGGGATACAGTGCCGGGCCTCATGAGGTGCGACCCCATGCAGGGACTAGCACACCAGGGGGTGGGGCACTGACTATCCCACCACCCCATGGGCAGGTGACCCTGTCTGGGTTGCATAAGGGCCCACCCTCAGGAGGGCAAACCCCTGTTGAGGGGAAGAGGGAGAGTGGTGGGCAACTGACAGCAGACCCCCAAGCAGGGACCACTGCCAGAGGTGGCAGGCCACTGAGTACCTCAGCACCCTATGGGCAAGCTACCCTGCAGGGAAGTGTCCACATGTTATACAAGACCACTGAACTCAACGAGTTCGGCAAAGTCGAAGCTCCCATTGATGTAACAATCGACCCCAACTTCCCCATGAGGAGAATAGCAGGGTCAGAAGTGGTGCATGATGCCACATATGCCTGGTGGACAAGTGTGAGTGTAAAAGCATTCATACAAAGGTACAAACAGGCCAAAGCTGCCTTCAAAAGCGGCAAGGTACACAGAGTCCTTCACGAAAAAGTGAAGGAAACTGAGAAATATTTCTTGGAACTCCCAAGTATTGCAAATCTCGCAGAGGAGTTCAACTCCCCAGAGAACAGGGGAAAAATATCCTGGGAAAGTCTAGGCAAAGCTGCCTATGTGAAGTCCCAGTTCAAACCACTCAGGACTCCTGAGGAACGTGCCACAAAAGCTGTGGGGTGGGAAGCGAAAGCTTCCAATCAGATGTCCAGATGAACAACCTGGAGAAAAACCCCCTCCAGGGCAATAACTCTACCCTCGAAAAAAGGGAAAGTGACATGGTAATATGCCACTGAGGTGCCCATGAAAACACCTTCCCCCAACTCAAGGCCCCACACACAATATTGTATGCAAGGAACCACAAGTAAAAATTGTGGAAACTTCTACTCCATCTAACCCACATCCACCACCACTTGTGTGTAAACACCATTTACACATGAATCCTCACAGAACAGTGAGGGGGAACACCAAAGATATATAATCTTTGGGTCGAAATCTATTTTCGAAACTTTCTTCTTCTTTTATTACTTTTCCCTTTTGCAATACCCATGTATCGCCGTTCACTTCAAAGTGATGGCCTCACACTCATTCACTCCTTCAATTTTTCTTGCCAACATGTACAAATCGCCCACTTTAAAGTGGCAATAACAAAACACTCATTGATAATTTCAAATTCAATGTAATTTCCTTTTTTTCTTCCTCTTAATCATGTATGCATCACACATGCAACGCAAGGGGGAGAATGTCAGGGCAATAGCCCTGAACCCCAAGCCATATGTAATTACGATGTACATAAAGTCATGTGGGTAAGTGGGAACTCCCATTAACTGCTTACACACACCATAAAATACACATCATTGTATCACTTATGGCCTCATGTGCTGAGCAACCCCACTGAGACCTCACACAGTGCCACTGGCCTGTCCACCTGCTACTATCATCATCTGATGGTCCACCCATCCATCCATCCCCCTTGTTAGATCAGGCAGATTCAGATGATTCCGGAATGGAATTGGAGACTTATCAAGGAGGGACCTTGGCCTCAGCAACTCAAGGGGAGCGCTGTGCCATTGCTGGTTGTCCTGTTGCGAGGGGAGTCTCTAGGGAGCGTTCAAGTTGATTTCAGACTGAGGGGCAAATGAGTATGTACAATTGTCTATATATAAGGGGAGATGGAAGCACAAGAAACAAAGGGGGTCTGAAATGGAACAAAGGTGTCTGAATGGAGACAAAGGGAAATATGGATGGGGAACTACACCGAGGGTCAATGTTACGGGAATGGGTTCCGGGGAACCCAACCTGAGCCGTTCGACTCACTAATGGAGGTGGCTGCGTAGCCATCGGAGGGAGAGCGGAATAGGATGAGTGTACGGAAGTACAACCTGTGGGTTGGCCAACGGTAACTTGGCGCTCCTGGGAGCGTACCGGTAGCAAGTATGATGAGGGCTCCTTGAGGGAGCCACCTGGCTGTCTGCTAATGGGGACTTGGCGCTCCTGGGAGTGTGCCGGTAGCGGGTGTGCTGGGAGTGTTTGGCTACCGGTGACTTGGCACTCAATGGAGCATGCCGGTAGTGAGGGATACTGGGACTCCCAAAGGGAGTCACCCAGATGGTGGCTATCGGTGACTTGGCGCTCATGGGAGTGTACCGGTAGCGGGAGTTGTTGGGGAAAGCGGGCTGGTGGACCAGTGCACGGTAGTGGGTGACCGTGGGAAGTGGGACCCGCGGGTGCATGGCCAGGCATCCTGGAGCTGCCTGGACCATATCCCTCTCCTAAGGAGGTGGGATAGGCTACAGTTCCTGATAGGGAACTTCTGGTTGGATGGGAGTGATTGCTCAACCACCCGGTGGACTGGTGGGAGCGGGCAACAGGAGGTTGGGCGTGGGAATGCCCTCCTCGTTGCGGTTTTGTCATGGAGAGGATGAATAGGGAGGTGGACATGGTTCCAAGGTTACAGGTTGAGTTTACAGTGGTGGCACAATGGTGAGGATGTTACAATTGCGGTACAAGGTTTTTGGGTTATGTATTCGATAATGAGAAAACATTTTTCGGCATCTGCCTTACACATCATATGACTTCTAACTATCTAATACAAAAGTCACAATGGTCAAGGGAAGTCCCTTGAAACTCAACAAATTCCCCAGCCAGCACCAAAACCCAGTGGGAAAGCTTGGCATGGGGTTTGACAGCGAAATAAAGGTGCAGGGACCAAGGGTTTGATTGTTCATAGTCACGGACCATAAGATTCTAGGTCCATTCCTATAACAGTCAAGGGTTAGACTCTATGATGCTGTTAGAGACCGGAAGCAAGATGAAGGAGATGTCTCCATGGCAGAGGGCTTCGGCCTCAGCAACTCAGACCAGGAGCACTGTGCCTAGTAACACATCTGTGCCCTAATTTGCTTACTGGCAGCGAGAACTAAAAGGGGGATCAACTCTAGTCGATTTTATCACTGGGGTGTAACCTATCTACAAGTTAAGTATATATAGTTACAGCAAGGGTGGGCCTGTGAATGGTGGGACCGAGCAGAGCAGAGGAAGGAGTGGAGGTAGTGGAGGATGATAGCTGTAGATGGATGTGACAGATGCATTTGAAAGGAGGTAAGGAGGGGGAGGGCCCAGAGGGGTGGGGGGATGAGGGGAAGTGGGGTGGATGACTAACTGGCTAAATAGAAGGAAGCACTAGTCCAAATATGGGTGAGGGAGAAATGCAAAGTATACAATAAAGCAGCAAAGGAGCCAGGGTAGGTCTGTGAAGCTCAGAGGTAGTGGAGCTTACAAAGGTGGGATTGGAAGTCTGAGGAATATTGGCAATGGCATTTACATGAAATGAGGTCACCAATGCAATGGACTTAAGCTGGAGTGGAGTCAAAGTCCAAGGTCGGGACCAGGATGGGATCTTGGAGTGGAGGTACGATTGGTGTCTGAGTTCAGGGCATGGGACAGGAACAGGAGGTCATACCTTGGTGGAGATCGGAGCAGACAGGAATAGGGTAGGACTCTGGAGGTGGCAGAAAGGGTCCAGGAGTTGAATTGGGATCGTGTCATATCCCGGAAATCCCAACCCCATACTCTCCCACCCCACTACACCTTCCTAACAACCTCGTCATCCCCTACACCATGCCTCCCTACTCCCCAACATCACCCTCCGTCCCAATTGTATCAGCTCCAGCCTGGACTTTGGGACAACCACCCTCTGCCACCTCCATCCCAGAAGCTCGGTCCCAAGTCGGAACATCCAGAACCTCTGGATTGCTCCGACCTCCTGATGGACCTCCGACTTCTTGTTATATACTTCTAAACCCTTCCTCTTGCCATTTTAGTGGAGTCACCCAACATTTCTTGGATATGTAACTCCTGCTTTGGAGCTCCCCATATCCTCCGGTGACCCTGCTCTTGTTATCTTAATTAGTCACCTTCCACTTATAGTATGACTGATGTCTTCTTTCCATTCAGTCAGCTAACTTCCCTTTACCCATTTCTCATTACCATTTACCCTCCAGCCTTCTACTCCACCCTCCTTGACCCGACCTCTCAGTTCCCTGTTAACAATATTGTTCAGAACCTCTCGGTACATAAGGACTAACTGAGACATAACAGAGGCACAGTGCTCCCTCTGAGTCTGTCATATCCGTACATACCCGATCCTGAACCGACTCCCGGACCCTCATCCTCATCACCTCCAGAGTCCTACCCTACCTCCGTCCATTCCGATACTCACCTTCAGACTGAACATCACCCCTCTCGCCACCCTCCTCTTACCCCTCCTCACTCCTCATGACACCTCCACCCTTCTGTCACTCTCCTACCCTACTTCCATCCACTCTGATACTCACCTTCGGACCTGACACCATTCCTCCTCCACTCCTCTCCCCACTCCTCTCATCACTCTCCTCCCTCCTCCCCTCTCCTGCCAAACCTCCAGCAAGTTATGACCTCCCACCACTGTCCTGTACCCTGTACTCAGACACTGCTTGTACCTTCGCTCCGAGATTCCGTCATAGTCCCAACCTTGGACTTTGACTCCACCTCGGCTTAAGTCCATTGCATTGGTGACCTCGGACTTTCAACCCCACCTCTGTAACCTCTGTAACCTCCACAACATCCAAGCTCCATGGATCAGACTCAGCGCTTTTGCCGCTTGTAATGTATCTTTTGCGGTTTCCCCTCACCCTTATTTGGACTGCTGCTTCTCTCCATTCTAGCCAGTTAGTCATCATCCCCACTTCACCTCATCTTCCTGCCCCTCTGGGCTTCGCCCTCCCTATCTCCTTTTGGATGTACCACAGGTTCTAACCTATGACCTTTTGGTGCCGCTCCGCTTCTGTCATCCCTTTGTTCCTGTTCGGATGCCTTTGTTCTGTTTTGGACCCCCTTGTGCTTTCGTCTCCCTATTATATATAGGCGCTTGTTTTGGACCTTCAGTCTAAAATCGACCTGAAATGCCCCCTAGAGACTTCCTGCTCACTGCCTCTGAAATTAAGGATGAAATGGACAAACAGCAATGGAACAGCACTCTGCATGAGTCACTGAGGCCAAGGTCCCTCCTTGCTAAGTCTCCAGTTCCCCTCTGGAATTGTCCGCCCTCACCCAGTTCTAACAGAGTTGCTGAGGCTGCATCCTTCTTATAGCCTCTTGTAATACCCAGCAGACCTGGGCTTCCTGGAGAACTCCCATTCACTACTGGAGCTCTTGGAACCCCTCTAGTTGAGCCCCATATCTGTTGCTCAGTCAAAGATCCCCTCCTCTCTCTCTCTCTCTCCTGCTACCCTTCATATTCTCTCCCTGTTAGAACTGGGTGAGGGCAGACAATTCTGGAGGGGAACTGGAGACTTAGCAAGGAGGGACCTTGGCCTCAGCGACTCAAGTGGAGCACTGTGCCATTGCTGTTTGTCCATTTGGTCCTTAATTTCATAGGTGGTGAGCAGGAAGTCTCTAGGGGGCATTTCAGGTCGATTTTAGACTAAGGGCCTAAAACAAGTATGTACAAGTGCCAGTATATAATGGAGAGGGTGAAAGCACGAGGAAACAAGGAGGATCCGAATCAGAACAAAGGCGTCCGAACAGGACAAAGGGAAGACGAAAGTGGAGCGGTGCTGAAGGTCATAGGTCAGAACCGGTGGTACATCCAAAAGGAGATTGGGAGGGCAAATCCCAGAGGGGCAGGAGGATGAGGTGAAGTGGGGATGATGACTAACTGGCTAGAATGGGAAGAAGCAGCAGTCCAAATAAGGTTGAGGGGAAAACATGAAAGATACATTACAGATGGCAAAAGTGCTGAGGATGATCTGTGTAGCTTGGAGCTTATGGAGCTTATGGAGCTTATGGAGGTGGGGTTGAAAGTCTGAGGAATATTGGCAATGGTGTTTATGTAGTATTAGGTCACCAATGCAATGGACTTAAGCCAAGGTGGAGTCAAAGTCCGAGGTCGGAGCTATGATGGAATCTCGGAGTGAAGGTACAAGCAATGTCCGAGTACAGGGTACAGGACAGCAGCGGAAGGTCGTAACTTGCCAGAGGGTCGGCAGGAGAGGATTGGGGGAAGGAGAGAGGAGAGAGGAACAGGGAGAGGAGTGGAGGAGAGGAAAGGTGTCAGGTCCGAAGGTGAGTATCAGAGCAGACGGGAGAAGGGTAGGAGAGTGATGGAAGGGTGGAGGAGTCGTGAGGGGTAAGAGGAGGAGTAAGAGGAGGAGTGAGAGGAGGAGGGTGGCAAGAGGAGTGGTGTTTGGTCTGAGGTGAGTATCGGAGTGGATGGAGATAAGGTAGGAGAAGGATGGAAGGGTGGAGGTAGCATGAGGGGTAAGAGGAGGAGTGGTGTCAGGTCCGAGGGTGAATATTGGAACGGACGGTGGTAGGGTAGGACTCTGGAGGTGGTGGAGATGGGGGGTCCAGGAGTCGGGTCAGGATTGGGTATGATGGATATGACACTCCCATCCTACCCCTTTCCCTGTCAGAGACCAGGTCGAGACGAAGGAAGTTCTCCTTGGTGGAGGGCTTCGGCCTCAGCAACTTATGCCAGGAGTGCTGTGCCAAGTAACACGTCTGTGCCCTAACTTACTAACTGGCAACCAGAACTAAAAGGGGGTAAACTCTAGTCGATTTTATTACTGAGGTGTAACCTATGTACAAGTTGAGTATATATAGTTACAACGAGGGCAGGCCCGCAAATGGCGGAGCCGAGCGGAGCGGAGCTAATGGGGTTAAACATTAGCTGATTGAGTATTACCGACAAGTTGGGTTATGGGGTTAATGGAATGGTAGGCGATAACCCAGAAATGGAAAGGAGGGATAGGCCCAAAGGTGGGCTTGCAGGGCAAGCGAGTGTATTGCCCAGCAGAGGTGGGAGTGCGCTAGCGGACGTCGGAGCTGTCCAGGAGCCTTTGGGGCTCTGTACTTAGGGAGGCGTAGGTAATAAATTGAAATGAGGGAGTGGTGACCATCGAGGGATACCGAGGTGATTGCGGAATATGGGAGCTCCAAGGTTAGTGGAGAAGGAGCAGAGGTAGTCCGGAGAGATCGGAGGTAGTGGAAGTTGATGGCCATGGATGGATATGACATTCCCCCCCCCTCATTCAAAGCTTTCCCCATAAGGGTTTTGGTGCTGGCCAAGGTTGTTTCACAGGATTTCCCATGACCATTTCACTTTGTAGGTAGTCACACATCATGTATGGAAACTGCCGGAGGTGGTTCCTGCTAACTATTACAAACTACCTTGTGTGCTGTCCCTGTAACAACCTCCCTTCTGTGACTCAACTGAACCTGTGTGTGTATGACTTTCAACATGTCCTATATGTCTGGCTATGCTGCATCGTCTGGCAGCTCTCACCAGGAGAACTCAAGGTCACCAGTCAAAGCCTCACAACCTGTGTATCATTCACTGGAACCCATGTCCTATAGGACGCTACCACCTTGTTCTCCCTCTAATGCTCGACAGATGACATCATACTATGTTACTTGGGTCCATAACTACTCTGCAGTGTGAGATATGGGTCCAGGGTCGGCACTGAGGGTCACTGTTGTGGGTCGCTAGAGGCTGCAATGCTGCAAACAAGGCCTGAGGGTAGGGCATTTGGCCTCAGCGACTCTAAAGGAGTGCTGTGCCTGGACCTTTCCCTGGAAGGGAGGCCGGAGGTAGAGGATGAGCGGAAGGACCATGGCCTCAGCAACTCCTAGGGGAGCGCTGTGCCTACATTCGGTAATGCTTAGTGTTTGGTCCTTAACTTCACAATGAGGGGGTGCAAACTGTGGGGGAATAGTTGTTATTGTCGATTTTGCACTGAGGTGCCATCAACTACAGTATGTTAGAGACCAGATCGAGACGAAGGGTTTGTCTCCATGGTGGAGGGCTTCGGCCTCAGCGACTCAAGCCAGGAGCACTGTGCCAAGTTACACGTCCATGCCCTAATTTACTTACTGGCAACAAGAACTAAAGAGGGATCAACTCTAGTCGATTTTATCACTGAGGTGTAACCTATGTACAAGTTAAGTATATATAGTTACAGTGAGAGCGGGCCCGTGAATGGCAGGACCGAGCGGAGTGGAGCTAACAGAGTTAAACATTAGCCGATTGAATATTACCGACAAGTCAGGTTACAGGGTTAGCGGGATGGCAGGTGATAACCCAGAAACAGAAAGGAGGGATAGGCCCAAAGGTAGACTTGCAGGGCAAGCAAGTGAATTGCTCAGCGGGGGCAGGAGTGCACCAGTGGACGTCGGAGCTGTCTGGAAGCCTTCAGGGCTCTGTACTTAGGGAGGCATAGGTTATATATTGAAAAGAGGGGGTGGTGACCATCGAGGGAGGCAGAGGTGATTGCGGAATACGGGAGCTCTGAGGTTAGTGAAGAAGGAGCAGAGGTAGTCTGGAAGGGTCGGAGGTGGTGGAAGACGATGGCTGTGGATGGATCTGACACAGTACAGGACTTATATACATAACACAAGACAAATAGGAACAAAGGGAAAACCCAAGATGGACTTACCCACTTGCTGGGTTGGAAATCTTATTGAGCACTGTGGAGTGAGTAGTTGAAGGGTTGGATCCTAGGAGGTCTGTAGTTGGGTAGGTAGGAATATTAATAACCTTAGGATAAGGGGTACTGGAGATGGTACCAGGGATTGGAGGTGAGGGAGGGGATGGACCGGAGGTGGACCAGAATGGTGGCAGAGTAGGTTGGAGGTTGGGTGGAGTTGGTATGGATATGACAGTGCCCCCTAGCTGTCTCCTGGTCCTCATTTCACACTCACTGGGGTTGCCTTGTTGGGGTCATGTCAGGGACGTGTCTGGGGTCGAGGGGGCCCAGGTGTAATGCCCGGCACTGAGCCCGTCACGAGGTGTGGAGCGGGTGTGCATAGTGATGGGCCTGATCTGGGATGACGATGTGAGGTCTCAGTGGGTAGCTCAGTACACAGAGCTGTAAGTGATACAATGGTGTGTATTTTACGGTGGTGTGTAAGCAGTTAACTGGAGGTTACCACTTACCCACATGACATATGTATCTTTAATTACATATGGCTCGGGGTTTGGGGCTATTGCCCTGACATTCTCCTCCCTTGCATTGCATTTGCAATGCATACAAGGTTAATGATGAAGAGAATAAATTTTTAAAAATTGAGTGACATTGAGTTTGAAATTATCAATGAGTGTTTTATTGTTGCCACTTTAAAGTGGGCAATTTGTACATGTCGGTGAAAGAGAGAGAAAAAGGTTTAGGGAATAAATAAGTGTGGGGCCGTCACTTTGAAGTGAATGGCGATACGTGGGTATCGCAGAGAGGAAAGTAATGAAGTTTTTCAAAAATGAATTTTGACCCAAAGGTTGTATGTCTTTGGTGTTCCTCACTTGTTCCATGAG